GGCGTCGGCGTCAACGTCGGCGTCGGCGTCAACGTCGGCGTCGGCGTCAACGTCGGCGTCGGCGTCAACGTCGGCGTCGGCGTCAACGTCGACATCGACGAAGTCAACATCAACAACAACAGCCACGACAAAGGCCACAGCACAGACCAAGCGACCAGTTCCGTTTGTCGCTGCCCTCATCTCCCCCCCTATCCGAGCAACTAGTCATCATCTCCTGCTACACGTTTTAGCACAGAGCAACTAATTTGATTTGCTTTTGTGGCAGCGCGCAAATAAATGCCAAAAAAAAGTATACAAGAAAACAAACTAATCAAAAACAAAAGACAAAAAAAAATGACGACGCTGTTGCTGCTGCTGCTGCGGCTGCGAATGCTAATGGACACAAGGCAAAGTGCAGCAAAAGCATACAGTGTTCATTGATAAACTGGCAACGGCAACGAGTCAATCTGTTGCTCTCCCTCCCACGCATACGCGCTCTTCTGCTGGCTCAGCCGAGCTTGCGCTCTCGCTCTCTTTTGCTCACTCTCTGGCTCTCTTTTAGTTGATCGGCAATTAGACATTCGGCTGGACTGGACTAATTGCGCGCATATTTATGACTAAGCAAAATGTCCAATTGGATTGCTGCTGCTTGAAAGACAACAGCACAACGTCAACTGACCACATGCACACACTGACATAGGCACACGCATACTCCTATACACACAAACAAAAATATGTGCATGTTTACATGTATGCCCACGCCTGCGTGTGTGTGTGTAGCGGCTGTCATTTGCTGATTCTCTGTTCGGGCAGTGCAAAGCAACAAAATGAAATGAATAAATCAGCAAGTAAGGCAAAGTCTAGTTTTGGGCTGCTGAGAGGTGGCTGGCTATATATAGAAACAATAGCAAAAAGCAAAACCAATAGCAGCAACAAAAACAATGGCGAAATATGTACATACGTATGCATGTATGTATGTATATTGTCGCTGCTGGTACTCAAGCAGCCGAGTCGAATGCATGCTCAACTATGAACGTACAAATATATTTATATGCTTGTATGTATGTATGTATATAAATAAATTGATATGCATGTGTGTGTGTCTATGCAAAACGCTGACCGAATAGGCCGTGACCTGTTGTTCTATATATAGCAGCTATTATAAATCGTGCATAGCTATGGGAGTATAAATTTAGAAGCAGCAACATCGGCGGAATCAGCAATAGCAAGAGCAACAAGAACAACAACAGAACTCAAAGCGCACATTGCACAAAAACTGAACTAACCAAAAATTGAAAAGTTAAGTGTAGTCGCCATATGCTACTCTATATTATTGTTATCACGCTCTTCCATATTAAAAATATACCAAATCTCAATATGCATATTAAATACATTTATGCATATGTATCCCTGCCATCCCATCCAGATAAACACATGCAAATTCATCTTGCATATATTCCAAATCAATAGACCCGCTTGCCCTTGCATAGGGTATATGAAAAACATAACCAAAACACAGCAAGAATGAACTGTCTGTGAGCGAGTGAAATTTATAAAGAGTGAGTGGGAGAGAGAGAGTGTGTGTGTTGATGAGAGCGTGCTCTCGCATAAGCAACAGCTGCAGCTGATGCCTGTATACGTGCATGTGCATTTGCATGTGTGTTTGCGTGTGTGTGTTCTAACTATATGTGACACTTGTAAGCAATAATACACTGGCTGCGCATCCAACGTGCTGCAGGTGCAGGCAAAAGCTTGCTTGTGTGTGTGTGAGTATGTGTGAATGCATATCGGGAGGAAAGGAGAAACCGCATTTTATACGAATGATGCTATTGGTGCTGTTGCGACGGAAGTCAGCTGTTTACAAGAAGTTCGAAAAAGCGTTTCGTATTCGTTGTCGTCGTCGTCGTCGCCAAGGTCAATTTTGTGTTGACATAGAAACCAGCAATACCAATAGTGGCAACAACAAAGAAGCACGTGTTCAAAACAAACGTTATAAAAAATGTATATAGAACAGTGTTAGCATTCAGCATGTATTCCAATTGGAAACTAAAACATTTAATCTAATTGGTATGCATCCGATAACATTACTATGTGCACATCATTAAGTATACGAACATATGCCGAGACACTCACACATACTATACTATATCTATGTACATATGTATTTATATAGATCGTGTAAGTCGAAGTTGCTTTAGCTCGAAAAAAAAAAAAAAAAAAAAAACAGGAATACTAATAAAATTGTAATAATAATAATAATAGCCCGACCCACATCGTTGCTTACTTTGTTTTGAGTGATAGCAGACGACAGTTGTATGCGTGCCAGTGTATGCACATACAGACACACATACATATAGATGTTTATGTATGTACGTTTGAGTTTCTGTACGGGTGTGTGCGTTAGTGCCGGAAAAAATTTCCAGCGCGCTCGTCTAAAAATAGACACACTTTGCGGCAACAGCAATTCGGGGCCCCTGGGGCGGGCCATATATAATATGTGGGCGTGGCTCGTTCAGTTTTGGCTTATTTCGAAGTTTTAGCTGAGAGGCCGTTTGTGTGTGTGTGTGTGTGCGCGCAGCACTCCCGCTCTCGCAATGCTTGTCTGAGTGTGTGTGTGTGTGTGTGTGTGTGTGTGTGTGTGTGTGTGTGTGTTTCACCTTGACAAATGCAAAGCCAAAAACCAACAGCAAACAACAACAACAGAGCAGTTTAGAAATGATTACACACACATACACACACTCAAGCGTAGACAAACAACTGTTAAAGGAGAAGCAGCTGGTAAATGGTAAGAATTGACAGTGGAAAGGCCGAATTGGGCTGAAATGGGTTGTTGTTATTGTTGTTGTTCTGCTGCTGCCGTTGTTGTTGTTTGCTGTTGGCTTTTGTGTATTACAAATGAGGATATTATGGCATACACAAAGCTAACGATTTTATATAACGATATACACATAGGCATTCCGTGTGAACGAATGAGCGAGATAGATAGATAGAGAGAGAGAGAGAGAGAGAGAGAGAGAGAGAGTTTCTGATATTCTTGGAATGCCATTACAATAACTGAGAGCTGAGAACTGTGAACTGCGAAGTGGGGGAATGGAAGCGGCAGTGGCAACGGCAGGTGCGTGCCACTCAATGAAACGTGAACGTAAGCGTAACAAATGACTGGGAATATTACTTGTCAACAGACATGCCCCCACGCCCTGGCCATTAGATGTATAAGACATTAATAATATACAATTATCATAAGCAACGACCTCGAAGCACAAGTCAATAAAAATAACACACGAAAACAGACACACGCGGTAAATTCCAGGAAACAACACATAAGGGAGACAAGGAGAACGATATTTTAGTGATGGGCCCTTCAAGGTTCCCAAAAATAATTATACAAATTTAAACAATGCTGATTAAATGCCTATTAATTTATTTCTATTCCAATTGATGAGCTTTGGAAATTAAAGCTGTTTCAATGCAATTCAGTTATTGCAGCATTTGCAACCACTGTGCAGCGTCAAATGACAATTCAAATTTCTGCTTCAGTTATGAGCAAAAATAACAGTGCACTTCTACAGAGAGACAGTAGAGCGTGTGTGTGAGAGAGAGAGGTGTGTGCCGTTAGAGTGCGACATTCAATTGGTCAATGAGGCCGCGTCTGACATTGCACGTGGCAATTGTTGTAATAGTGTAATAGTAAAAACAATATAACGGGCCGAACGCCAGTAGAAGTGAGAACGAACGAAGCAGCGAAACGCAAGTAAGAGCAAGAAAAAGAAGCAAGGGCCATAAGGTTGACGCTGGCGCCGGGGTCGTCGTCGTCGTCGTCGTCGTCGTCGTCGTTACACATTTCAAAGGCAAGTAAATTTTTGTTGTGCTATAAATAGCACAAAATCGATAAACGAATGTTGTTCGTGTTGTTATTGTTGTTCATACAAACAAACAGACAGAGAGGCAGCAGCAGCAGCAGCGGCTGAAGGCAGCATTAGTAAGCGCCGGCAAGAGAGCTCGCTCCAAAATAAAATGAAATAAAGAGAGGACGGGAGCTGAAGAGCGAGAGCATGATATTGCACGTGCTTGGCATTGACAGTGGCGGCAGCAACTCAAGCTGAAAGCGACATTACCTAGTCAGCACTAACAAAAAATAAAGCAACTTCTTTGTGCGGGCCATGCATATAGAAACACTTTCCTAAGAAATGGCTGGAAATTGTAATGCAACCAATATCACTTTTTATTAGCCATATTGTTTGTATACTTGTACAAATCATGCTTAGCAACGTTTTTGTGCTGGCCATGCATATGGGGACACTTTCATTTGATACTGCATAAATAACTGACTAATGACTGTTAAACATTGTTGATCTAAATGCATGGCCAGCACTGTTTCTGCTCTCTTACCCACTAACATAACAGCCGCACTCACACTTGCACTCGCACTCACACTCACACTCACGCAAGCTCTCTTTTGAGTGACATTTTCAGTCAGCAACGCAGCCGCAACCACTTGCTGGTCTTGGGTCGCGCCGTCTGCTGCTGTCACCCGACCATGGACAATGTTCTTGTTGTTTAGCCGTTGTCATTGCGTGCTACACGTTGCTGCTGCTGCTGCTGCTGCTGCAAAGTCAGTTGGCGCTGCGCTAGCTGCGCTTAGCTGTGTGGGCTGGCAGCGCTGCTTGCTTGCTTTTGTATTCCTATTAACAGTTATTTTTGGAAGGCACACACTCATCCTCTCTCTTTATCTATCTATCTCGCTCTCCCACACCCTGCGTATCAATGTATGTGTCTGTGTGCTTGTAAGCTTTTGTTTGTACGTGCGCGCTGTGTGTACACTTTGAGTTATGTATTCAATTGTTATTACGCACAATAGCCCATTTGAGCCACCCAACTAGCCCAGCACCCACCCATAAGATAGTGGCTTCACTTACCACGTATTGGTATTCTATCGTCAGGACTAGACATTTTGCATGGACCTGTAAGACACGAAAAGAAAAGGAAAAAGATTTTTATTTAGTCAGTTAGTCAGCAAATAAGGTGCTGCCCAATTGGAGTTGGACAATAGACCAATTGGAATAGTGTACTGCTTGCTGACAGATTCACTTGGTATGTATGCGACTCAATTAGAAGTAATAAAACTATGCCGAATGCCAAATGAATCATTTAGTCATTAGCTTTAATCCTCCCAAGTCGCTCATACGATTTTTCTTTTGTGACAAATGGAAAATTCCATCACAATGTAAAAACCCCAAATGGGCAGCAACAATGCCAATCAGAAGTTGTGAATGATCCGACGACGAATTGGAAAATCAGCTCTATTTCCAGTTGCTTACAAATTCATTGAAAAAACATATAACCACTTATACATACATAAATACATCAATACACATGCAGACACACACACAAACGCTCTACAGTGTGAGACAGATTAGCGCAGCCACAACAATGGACAACAACAATAAGTGGAAGAAGCAGGCGAATGAGAATAGCAGACGTCACATTCTGATAAGCGAACCTCAGCGATCAGGGCGAGAGTGAGGGAGAGCGAGCGAGCGAGCGCGCATTAATGATAGTCCGTTAGTCTGCTTCGCCTGCTGCTTCGTCTTTCGTTACTCTGCTTCTGCTTTGCACTTGGCTCAGATTTCGGAAAATTTTCTGAATTGATAATCGTTCATTTTGCTTTCTTCTTCTTCTTTTTATATATTTATATATGTATTGTATTGTCGATATCTCTTGCTAATTTTGAATGCTAGCTGAATGTTTGCCACCCCCTTCCCACACACACACACACACACACACACACACACACACACAGAGTCCCAGCACATATGCAGCCCACCAAAACACACCTCAATTCACCACGCTTCCAGCTGCGAATTGGAAATGTTGAAAAACATGCAAATCGCCAGCGCAAGTGAAATAATGAATTGTGTGGCGCCGGGGTGGGGGTTATTTGCAGCAGGTGGAACTAGTCGAATTGGGTCACAGGTGCATTAGTTGAGAACAGGTGCAAGGTGTAACACCGCAGCAGGTACAGTTAGACGCTTGTCCCAATGACCTTCACAAATGCAAACAATTAGAAAATCCAATCGGAGAGTCCAGTTTAACTCCTGCGCCACACGTACACACGTACACACACACGCACACACACGCTCACAATTTCCGCTCACTAATTACAAAAACAAACAGAAGACGAAAACAGCAAAGTATATAAAGAATAAACACAAAAATATACTTGCATTAGTATCTGTATGTTTGTATTTACATATGTATGTATGTATGTATGTATGTATGGGTATATAATACACAAACAATCAACAATAAAAACAACGGACGCCCCAAAATGACGGTCCCAAATGAGAAATGTTAACCAATCCAATTGGAATTTGTCATTTCTTCGATTCGTCTTTCGCCTCCACTGAGCGAATGAACGGTAAAAGGTTGTTAATTAAATGCAATTAATATATTCAATGTTAGAAAAGCAATATAAATAGAATCAATCAAATGTCAAATGTATTAATCAATATAAATGCAATTAAATCAGCCAAGTGCACAGCAACAACAAAAACAACTGAACTGAAATGCACTTTATGCGTGCTACAAGGAAACGTTCAGGCGGGTATGCTCAACAAGCAGATGCTCTTTGATAACTTTAGGTCTTATATTTTGGTAGAGGATATATGCAGAACATATGTATATGTACATATCTAATATCAATCAATACACATGTATGTATATATTTGTAGCTTTATAGTTGCATTAATAATTAAATAATTACGGTTTGATGTTAATTGTTTTCTTATGTGCATACTTAAATTTTCCTATTAGATCGTTACACAAATTATAATAATACAGGGTATATGCACGTGTGTCAGCTGCTGCTGTTAAATACCAGAACTCTCATCCTCTAAATAGCTCCCCTCCCGCTCTCCCTCTTTTGTTTAATGTAGAACGTAGAAGAATTCGCCGAAGTCTCGCAGCAAAAACAAGCACACCCATACACAAAGAATGCATATACATGTATGCATTTATTCATATGTACATGTATACTTGTATGTATTTGTGTGCAAATGGTTTTTGCATTTTACATTTCTGGTTTGCATAAACATTTGGTGCACACTCAAATTTTTTTGGCGTGTGGCATCACAAAACAATTCGCATTCCAATTAGAGCAAATTACACGCATTTCGCTCTCGCTTGCCTTCTCTTTCTCGATGTGGGGAGCGCGCTAACAGGCAGAAGAATAAAACCAAAAACAAAAAACAAAAGCGCAACAAGCGGCAGCGTCAACGCAGTGCGTAATGAAATGACAAGTAAAAAGAAATCAAATGACTTTTGCGCTCTTCACTCCAATTCATGTTGTTGTTGAAAGCAAATGTACAAAAGCAGTGACGTCGACGTCAGCGGCAAGCGTCGGCGTCATCGTTAACGCTGACTCTAAGAGCAGGCCCAAAATGCGCGTCACACAAACACAAAGCCAATTGCTCTAAATGCTGTTGTTGTTGTTGTTGTTGCTGTTATGTTAACTGTTAATTTACAGCAAAATCTTACATACAGATGTCAATTGAAGAAATGCTGCCGACGCCACATGTTGACGTCGACCAAAGCTTAAACGATGCGCTGCCAGATATGCGCTGCCGCCATTGCCAGTGTTGATAACCAAAATAACAAAGCGAACCTAACCAGTTCAATGCGCTTAGCATTGCTCCAGCTGCTGGAGCGAACGCGGCTCGATGCTGCTGGGTGCTTTTTTGTGCGTTAACAATGGCAGCGGCTGCGGCAGAGGCAGCAGCAGCAGTAGTGGCAGTGCTGCCAGCTTCATTGCAAACTTTACAACAACAACAAAAAGCGAGAGGCGAAAATCGCCAAATACATACAGCACAACGACCAGAGGAACAACGGTGGTGGCAGAATCAGCGCCAGCGCTAGCAGCAGCAGCACTTCATTTAGCACGCACACACTTGTTACATAAATAACGGCGAAATGAGTGTGAGTAGCAGAAGGAAAAGAAAACAAGACGAAAAAGAAGTCGTCGTCATGCTGAACCTGAGAAACGACGTCTGCTTTAACACACACATAAACGCATGCCTCTGATCTAATAAGAATTTTTTGAATTGGACAAAAGCACACACACACACACACGCTTACATACATACATACCTCTTCAAAGTGGCGCGAACTGCTCCGACTCGGGCCTATAAATGTTGTTGATTTTATTTTTTGCTGTTGTTATTCTTGTTGTTGCGCTGCTGCCAACGCGCGCGGCGACGCACACGCACACGAACGCACACTTTTCCAAAACTTGTAATGTACGGAACAAAAAAAAACTTTTCACAATGCGAAAATTATTAAAAAAAAAATAAATAAATAAATACTCTGGCAAAAATAATGTAAAAGCAACACAGAAACTAAAGACAACGACTGCTCGCTCTTCCACACTTGCTTTCTCGCTCGCACGCTCGCCACTAGAGGAGCACACATATGCACAAAACGTATGCGTGTGTGCGCATGTATGTGGATGTGCGCACACAAACACCAGAGCAGCGACAACGACGAATTCACGACTTTTCGTATGCGTGTATGAATGCGTGTGTTTCTTTTACTTTATTTCATTTTTTGTCACTTCACATATTCACAAACAGATTCGCATTTATTTCTTTTTTTTTGTACTAAGTATTTAGTACTAACACTACTGAAATGTACAAACGTACATGGGTATGTATGTACATCTGCTGCTTATTTTTTATTTTAATTTTTTGCTCTCTTCGTTTTGTTGTTGTTTCGCCCACAATTTGATCAGCTTTTAGTTTTATTTTTCGCACTTGCTTTTCACCACTGCGACATTTGTTGTTGTTTTGTCGCTGCTGTTGTTGATACTGCTGCCACTTTACTGCACGCGTAATTCGTGGGGTAAAACATAAAAAAAAAAACAAAAAAAAAAATTGACAACAAAAAATTACCCAACACTAGTGCAACAACAGCTGTTCACGCCGTATTATTTTTTTTGTACCTCGAACGGACTCCTTTTCTAGCTCAAATTCAAATTGTGTGTCAATATATTTGTTGAGCTCTTTTTGCCTGGCGAAGCAAAAGCGGATAGTAGCAACCGTCTCCGACAAAGAAGAGCGTAAAAATGAACAACAAAAATGTGAGAGCCCATGCTATCGATACCAATCGATGGCAAGCTATCGGCTAGCTGTGAACGCCAATAGTGCTCTTTCTGCTGCTGCCATATCTGCAGTGCTTTTAAGCACTGCACGCAGAGTTGTATTTGGCGTAAATCACTCGCGCACACGCGCGCCGCTTTTCAAATTTCAAACTTTACACAACTGCATTTTGTAAGGACATTTATTCGAAGCGCATGAAAAAAATTAAAAAAAAAAAATTATTTATATATGATTGTGTAGCGATGAGTGTTTGAGTATATAATGCGATATCATAGGTCCCAGTTAAGCTCAATAGTAACCATAATGACCATGATGATAAGGATAATAGCCATGATGGCCGCCGTAATAGGGCGCAGCGTGATGCACGTACTCATAGCCGCCATAATAGGGCGTGGCCAGACCATAACCGCCATAGTGTCCATGTCCCAGTCCATAGCCGCCATAGCCATGGCCATAATGGCCATAGCCAAAGCCGTAGATGCCGCGCTTCTCCGTCTTCTTCTCGCCCAGCGCCGAATCCAGCTCGGCGTCAGGCGCTGCTCCGGCTGCTGCTGCTGCGGGCTCAGCAATGGCCGCCAGGCAGCCCGTCAGGCACACGGCCAACACAACGAAGACACACTGTAAAATGTTATTGCCAATTAATCCTGCTCAGCTACAGCTGGTAACTCCTGCTCCTGCTTACCAGGAATTTCATGATGAGGATTTTCACTTAATTGCGGCTCTTTTTGCTAAGGATGCGATGGCTGCAGCGGCTGAGCTGATTTGTTGATGGTTGCCAGTTGGCGCAGCGTATTTATAGTTGCTTGCTACAGTTTGCAATTATGCAAAAAATAAAAAAAAGAAGAAGAGATAAAATAATAACAATAAAGTACAAAATAGAGAAAAGAAACAAAATACAATAACAACAAGCTCTAGCTGCAGCGATTGTTGCATTTGATGTCGTATTGAATGCTTGACAGCCTCTGCTGCTGCTGCTGCTGCGACTGCGACTGCGACTGCGGCGGCGTTGCTGCTCAGCAGTACAGTAATAACTCCAACAGCGAACTGCTGTATTAGCTATGTTCATTGGCAAGCTTAGTTTAGGATATCAGATGTTGCCTGCCATTGGTTAGAGCTCTACAATCCTGCGACCAGATCTGCCTTCAATAATTATTGATCTGAATGCTTTTGATACATTCTCCAATTATTCAGCATCAATTAAATTAAATGATGGGATAATGAATGAAAGCAATATATGTATAATTCTAAGAGCTTAAATTTGGTTAGGACTTCTATTTGGCAGCACTTAAATTGCATTTTATCTAGAGTTTTGATACGATTCGTTTCAGTTTGGTTCAAGTTTTCGTTCATGTATTTTATTTAATGTTTCATTTACATTATTATTTAAAGTCCAGACCTTTGCTTTGTCTACAGTGAACCTCGCTGTCTGTACAGTGAGCACCTGTATAATAAGTAAAACTTTGACATATATAAAGAAAACTTGAGCTGAAGGAGTAAATTTCATAGATTTGCAGTCGTCTTTATAGTTAGTAATTTTTTTTTTTTGTATCGTATGCCTACTGTACTAATAGTTCTCATCGGAAGCATTTGTAGTAGTTCCTTAAATACTAGTCCCATTAAATAATAATAACCTTTAAATATTTAAACACATAATTTTAGCTAGTTCGCGTAAGCGAGTGCTTACTGTATTACCGGTTCATTTCGCACCGTAACTATACTTAGAGCTTTTAGAAATTCAAGCAAATGAATGAAAGTTAATAGAACTATGCTCATTTTGGCAGCCGGTTCGTTCAAGCTTGTGTTTACTGTATTCCAAGATCGGCGCGGTACGAAAACCTTACAGCATATACATAAAAAAGGAGCAAATATTAAAATACATAAGTAAAGCCTTTAGAAATTTATTTTTTAGCTAGTTCGCTAAAGCGTGTACACACTGTACCCGTAGTTTGAGTCAGCTCGGCTCGGAACCATTTTTCCTAGCCACACTAAGCCCGTATAAGATGCGGGCAAAGGCCTCGTCAGTCATTCATTCATTCTGTAGCTGGTTTGCCCAAGCGTGTGCTCACTGTACCTCATCGTTGGCCGGGCCCAAAAAGGTCAGCCATAGCTACAGTCGCAATCCTCAGCGCTTGGCCCAAGTGGGCGTCGCAACTAACGTTTCCACTAGTCGCTCAACCCCCCCACTGCTCGACCAACCCTGCCAGCCGCCCCCTGCCCCCGGTCCCCCTGTCCCATGTTCGCCCCGCCCACTTAGAACGCGCATGGGAGATTGCATAAAGTGAAATATGTTTGTGAGGCAATAGCCAAGACGGAAGCTGGGAGTTGTTGACACAGTTAATACCCGCTAAATGCGATCGGGTGTCGCTTTCACTTGCGACGCGATACGCCGCCCGCTGCTGCAACATGCAACACGCAACGCGCAACGCGCAACACGCAACATGCAACGTGCAACATGTTGACAAACCGAGCCATATAGATTACAATTGACTGGCTGAAGTGGGCGTGGCAAGTCAAATGCCAGAGACCCCGTGGGAAAACGGCAATCGCGCCGCCAATTGTTAACAACAATCTGTTTGTTGTTATTGTTTGTAATGCTCGCTTGCCTTTGCTTGTCTAATTAAGTCAGCAGCAAGAAGCGAAACAGTTAATAAACCTTTCACGATCTGCGGATACCTTGAAAGCGTTCTACAACAGATATTCATCTTTCAGCGAAAACTCTTCGAATTGTGCTCGAAATCAATCTGAGATACCCTAGCAGAGTGGGGCTTATGGAGTACCTCGAGTTGGAGGATCGCAAATAGTAACAAAAGATTTACTATTGACCCACTCGATTTGGGGTCTGAGCATGAAACTGAAAGTAGAGAAACTAGAGATCCATCATGCCCAATCTTGGGCTACAGTTGGGCTCCTTTAACGTTGATAGTTTATTCAAGATCAAAGAGTGCAGAAAGAATGGACGAATGCAAGAGGGAGATGGTATGAAATGAATGAGAGCGAGATGGAGATAGGTGTCTCTATAACAAGCGATGAGCATACTCGACATTCTTTTTCCAATATTTAAAAGCTGTTTTATGAGCAATCATCAGGATCTTTAACTATCAAAGTTGACTTACAAAAATCATTGTAGCTTGATTGTAATAGACCCAAAAGTCACATATTTTGCCAATCAATAAACGTAAAAAAAAAAACCATATATACACTATTCTAAAATACTATATTTAGGTTCGCCTCGCTCCAATTTACTCCAGATCCGACTAAATATTTTCAAATAATAAGTTTCAATAGATCCGTTATTATATATTCTATAATAATTTGTAAATTCCTATTCGTCACGCCTTCAGTGGGCATATCGTATAGAACAGTAGACAAATATTGCATAAAGCTAATATACTCCTCTTTTCTTTTATAAGGAAACATAATAAGTAACAAATTTGAATTCTTATCGAAATAATCCGAGCTGCACGATTTCTTCGCTAATGCCTAGCCAGAGGCCTGAGAGCAGAGGACAGAGGGTAGAGTGTAGAGAGCAGAGGCTAGAGAGCCCAGAGGAAGCTAATCAAATGCAATGAGACAATGAAGGATGGACGACCTTGACCGGATGTGGCGGGGGGTGGTGGGTGAGGTGGGTGAGGTGAGCGAGGTAACTGCTGCATAGTAATTGCTTTTGTCTGATCAAACTGTGAATGAGACTAATGCAACAACAACAACAACAACAACAACAATAGCAAAAGCAACAACAACAACAACAACAACAACTGCAGCTGCAACATTGTTGAATGAAGCGCAGACAAAACGAGCGAATTGGCAATTGGCAACGTTTTTCACAAGCGGCTCCAAAGTGGGTGGGGCAGCATCATTGTCTACGGCTTGTTCATGTTTGTTTCACTATATTTTCTTCTTCTTCTTCTCATTTTAATTTTGATTTTGCCTCAACTTAATATTAATCAAATGCATATCGAGTTGCCACACGTTAAGGTTAATGCACGCGACTCTACAAGCGGAAGTTGGCCTACAATTGGACTCGTGTCACGAGTTTTGAGTGCGTGACACGAGCTAAATACATATTTTGGCCAAACTCTCTACTCAGGACTACTTTAAAGAGCTTTTCTACAAAGAACATTTAATAAGAATATGTTAATACTTAGAGTAAGCAATTTAATATATTATTAAGGTATATTACGTCTGTTTTAAGAGACTAGCATAATTTGAAAATTCGTTGAAAGCTCGAAAAATTTCAATTCGTATTTATCTTTCTATCAATTTTAGCTAGTTCGAAATAAAACTATAAGAAATTCTTTAAAAATATCATTCAAGGAAACAAACTGTAAACATAAATTTAAATGATTTAATTTTAAAAATATAGCGATTCTTTGAATCCATGAATTTTCATTGAGATTGAAGTTATTTGAGTGAGTCGTGCGTGCCTAACGATATAGATCGCGTCACGCTGTCTCGCAGTCGCAATTGCGACACGCGGCCGTCTCTAGCGGCTACGACAGCTGTGCCTCAGCGGCTGGTCACGATGCCAATCACAGCGCCGATGACAACATTCGACGATTGCTCCAACGGATTTTCTAATATTGCTCTTGCCACAGTCTGGGCATGTCGTTGGTCTTTAATACTGTTCCGGCTGATTTATGGGCGCATTGTTTGCAACGGCAACTACGTCAAGGTCTCGCAATCGATGGTGCCCACCTGGTTGAATATTACACAACAAGAAGCAGCACAAGAACCACACAATGCACAAATCATCTCGAAACTATTTATTACGCTTAACAAACATTACAAATAAGAAAAACGATGCACATGTGACTGTGTGGGGGACATGCGTTTTTAGTATTTAAGCTCCTTGGCCTTGTCGTGGGCGCCCTCATCGAGGAGCTTCAGCTCCGCCTGCTGCTTCTCTGGCCGTATCACAGTGTAGTAATGGTAATAGCGCATGCCAATCAGATAGGTGCCATATAGAGTAACTCCGATGCAGGCGTAGACAGCGCCACGGTGCAATTTGTCCAGCAATGTGTTTGCCCTTAGCGGCTTCTTTTGCATTGTTATTTGTTACCGCACTCTTATTGGGATCAAGAAATCGAGCAAAACTTTGCCTGTTAGCGATGTACAAAATAAAAACATCGAATTCTGATGACTGTGTGTGTGTGAGAGTGCGTAAACATTCTTTCCTTGGGTATATCGATTGTTCGTGCTGCTCGATTCTTACGTATGTTGCCTGCCCAATTGATGAAAGTCTCTCACCGACTCACATCTCTCGATAACAAGACGCCTATCGAGCTGTGCACACAGATTTTTGTTTACAGCAGCAGAGTTTGGCCTGTTGTTTACTGTTTGCCTTGGAAACTATGATCTGCCGCCTGTGCCTGTTAGATTTGGATAACTCGCTCTCCATATGCATATTCAGCGATGCCGAACACGACCTATCGGCAGCCATTGCCAAATATTTACAGCTCGAGGTGGCAGTCAAATTCCGAGATAATACGTGAAAAATACTCTTAATTTGAGTACTGAAATTTACCATCTTTTCAGGTGACGATCAATGATAGCATATCCACTAATCTATGCAGCACATGCTGGCATCAGTTAAGCGACTTCCAGCAGTTTTGCGCAATGGTAGCCGAGAAGCAGCAATCCCTGCAGCTGAAAGTGGAGCTCGACCCGCCACCCGAGCCAGCAATTGTGGTGTGGAACACCGAGTCGCCGTTAGAAACGAAGCTGGTCTTCGATGACAACGACGATGTCAAGGATCACATATTATGCGAGCCTGAGATTGATGTGCACGATAATATCAGCACCATCAATCAATCCGATTCACAATCTATCACAAGCAACAGCGATGATTCCTCTGACTTCGAGTTGGAGCACGCAGCTAAGAACAGAGCACAACTGCCCTCCCCGGCTGCCTCCAGCCAACGAGAGACGCGCCTGCTGCGACGCACTGCAGCGAAAGCAGGCGCATCTCCTGCCACGCTGCCCGAGCTACGAAAAATAAAAAGGGCACGCGGCCGGCCCAAAGGCACAAGTTCTAAAACCAAGTCCAAGTCGAAATCCAAATCCAAGCCAAAGATTAAGCAGCCCAAGCCCAAGCCGGATGCAACGGAGCTGCAGGCGAAGCGCAGCAGCATCAAGGAAATGGACGACTATATTGCAGCCAACGTGAAGCTCGACTGCTGTCTCTGCACTGCCCCCTTGCAGAACTTCATCGATCTGAAGCGTCACTTTCGCTCGGTGCACAACTGCACCGGCTACATGGAGTGCTGCAACAATCGCTACAAGAAACGCACGCTTTATGTGGATCATCTGCACTATCACAAGGATCCGCAGTACTTTAGCTGTCAGCCCTGTCGCAAGAGCTTCCTCAACCGCAACAGCCAGGATATGCACATGCTGCGCTTCCACTCCGATCAGCAGCAGCTCGTGCACCAGTGCCACATCTGTGAGGCGCGTTTCGCCAAAAAGTTTCTGCTCACCATGCACATCAAGGGCCATAAGGGCACCGAGCGACCGGAGGTCTGCGACACCTGTGCCAAGAGGTAGGTGGAACCTCTGACCCAGCTAGGTTATGTTCGATGGGGCCTTCATTATTTGCGTATCTTTCTGCCAGTCAGTCAATCAAGTGGCAATTTGATCTGTCAGTCAGTCAATCAAAGTATTTCAATCAATCTGTTGGTCTATTCGAAAGACTCTAGATGAGCAGTCTATTAGCTGGGTTCTTCATCTTCAAGTTTTCTAATCAGTCAATCAAACCGGGAAATCATCTATTTGTTTATCAATCAATCTATTGCTAGTCAACTAGTCCAGTCATCAACTAAAGTATAAAACCCTATCTACTAGTCAGTTGATCAACTAGCAAATTTATCAATCGTTCAACCACTTTTCTAGTCATCTAATCTGTGTGTAAGTCCAGTCATTCAATGAAGTAGAGCATCAATCTACCAGTCAGTCAATCAAGTTGAAAATGCCAGTCAGTAAGTCGGTCCACAAATAATCTGTCAATCGATCAATCAATGTCCGCAAATCTAAATGCTTTATATGTGGACCTATTAAAACCACATAAGCTGTACGCTGACTAGCTCTGCCTCTGTCGCAGAAGATCTTCTTCATTCAAGCACTATCTGTCTCTCTCTCTCTTTTTCATACTCATTGCGCCAGCTTTCGCACGAAGCTAGAGCTAACGGCACACATAAAACGAATGCACACCACGGATTTCACTCCCGTCATCTGTGATATTTGTGGCGTCAACTTTCGGTCGAAGGCGAACTTTCTGATTCACAAGAAGGCTCTGCATCCGGATGGCCCTGTGGCGGAGGTCCAGTGCAATTTGTGCAGTCGTTGGCTGCGGGATGAGCGAAGTCTGCGCAAGCATTTGGCCCGGCACGATGACCGCGATGGCGACAACAAGTACCGTTGCTTGCTGTGCAGCGCCGAGAAGTCCTCCCGCGTGGCACTGAGCAGTCACATGCGCTATCATCACTCGACCAAGCGGCACAGCTGTTCGCTCTGCGGCAAGGAGTTCAAGCTTTCAAGGGCGTTGGCAGTGAGTAATATGAGAATGCGAAGCTGGATCATGCATCCCTTACGTATATAACAAATGTGTAATTGCAGGAGCACATGGCCACCCACACAGGCATCGACTTGTACTCCTGTCCCTTCTGCACGAGAACTTTCAAATCGCATGCGAACATGCACAACCACAAGAAGAAGATGCATCCCAACGAATGGGTGCGCAAGTACACGCAGCCAAGCGCGGCGCGCACTTCAGGCGGGTCGGCTGTGGAGAAAGATGTGCTGGATGATCAGCAATCTGAGCACGCGGAGCAGCAGACAGTGACCCGGGCTGAGAGCTCCTTCGAGTACATGGCCAATGGCGGTGTTGTTTGCCCACTCTGAACGCACAATATATGTATTTAAGTTGTTGTTTATTGGCTGAATAATAGTAAACTAAAGTTAGTTTTGTATAGCGTAAGCATAAAATGAATTATGGTGATTAATGTAGCTGTTGATTCGGTATTTCGTCTGCAAGCATTTAGTTGTCCCCCTCGTTCTCTGCCAGTATGGTGCGTATCTTCATCAGCAGTTCCTTCTTGACTGCATCGGGCACCAACATCCGTGCCTTTGGCGTTACCTCCGCTATAAGTTGTTCCACGCTGAGGCTGTTGTTGCCGTTCTTCTCCACGAGTATATTTCGACAGAGCAAACGTACTTCATCTCGCCAACCGCACTCGGTTAGGCGGTTACAGAGCAGATCTTTGATTTTGGAGCGATCTCCCGACATGATTGTGTACTGGTCCACTGTATTTGAGACTGTCATGACAGATAAATTTTGCTATGTATTATTCTAGAACACTTAAAATTTTGTTTTGCATTTATGGATGTCAAACTAATAGAGCGGAGCCAAAATGAGCCAAACTATCGTTTGTAGGCAAAACTATCGATTGTTTTTATTTCAATTTTTGAACCGTCTACCATCGATAGCAGGCTTTTGGCATAAATATTTGTCTATGCGTACGTTTAAATATGTTCTATTTGCAATGTATATGAAGTTCATATTACTGCGGAGTTTTTCACAATTTTGCACATTAGCATTAATCTGTTTCCAATACTGTGCATATCGGAGACCAATTAATTGGTTCTTCTGTAGTTTATGCCTAGAATTACGGAATATATAGTTTATCAATAATATAATACCTTCTCTCCTGTTGCGCTCTGACACACATATAAAACTCATGACTAATACATCGATATCTCTTGCCCTGCTTATGTCTATCGACTTTGGCGCCGTATTCAAAATGGAATTATGCGATTACACCTACACGAATAATCCAAATAGTCTGCCCCAATTACGTCTTGTCGTCAAGTAGCACATTGACCTTAAGCCAAATTAACAACACAGTTACAGGCATGGATTTTACAAATTGCACGTTATCAACAGCAACAAGGGCGGGTACTAAGTAACCAACAAGTCAAGTTAAATCAATAAACTAGTAAATATCCAATGCATAAGAATTCCAGCAAAGGATTGTCAGTTGTGGAATTCGGGCGGTAGAAAACAGTTGCCCCCATTGCATAAATATACATTCTTATTATTGTTGAGTTTGCAAATGCTCTGTTGGGCCAACGAGGACAAACTATCAAGGCAGCCTAAGCGGGATCCTCAAAAGTATCCCGAAATTTTCAAGAATCTGCTATTGCGCTCTAGTGTGCCCATTGTGAGTCAAGAAGAAGATAAAGTGGCGACGACAATGGCACCGCTGAAAGGTGTTGAGATCACCAGCAATCAAAAGCACATATATCTTGAAAATCGCAAATTCGATCATCGCTTGGTCAAGGACAATCTGCTGGACAGATGGCCGACAGCGGATCGGAACGAGTACAAAGAGCGCAAGGATCATCGCAATCTCATGGAATCATATGTATCATTGATCAAACTACCATCCACATATACGTATAGCCCTTGCACCTCGCACTGTAGAAACGAGCACGTTAAATTTCTAGACATTTGTAGTAGGCCTTGAGCCTGGGAAAAAGTTTCGAGCTCACATAAGTTTGTATAGCACTCATTCATTCCACAGTCTCGAACGATTATATTTCGTGTCGGAGAATTTATTTTTTTATTTTCAACAAATATTAGTTGCAAAGTCCAAATTCCAAGTGCCATTAAAATTAGCAAGTGAACCATTATCACAATGGCTGGTCACGAAGGAGTCGAAGGTTTGCCATCCCAGAGCGTCATGTATTCTCAATTGCAGCCGTGGAGCCAGGCTGGCGCCCCGCCATGCATGGAGCCCATTAGTGGGTCGACGGTGCCATCTCGAGTGGCCGCCTCCTATGCGACGACGCAGCGTCATCCGTGGCGCCCCAAGATGGCATTCGAGATGATCGAAGTGAAGCACATGCCCGAGCAGCCGGTGACCAATCAGATGACGCAGCCGTGCTTTGTGCCGCAAGGCATGAAAACGGAGGGCATGATATTTCCAAATCTCGTCACTGGTTTCGAGCGCAATCCCCAGCATGCGGCACGCGCCGCACTCTATACGCGCTACACCAACAACGAGTGGCAAAGCAACAACCTCAGCATCTATGGCGAGTCTGACACGAATCGGTGAGTGATGGGATTTGGTGGTCCATGGTGTCTATAATGAATAGTATATAATCTGTATGTCTATAATCTTTCATTTACAGCAACATGTCGGAGCGGATGCGCAATGATGCAGTGCGTCTGATGCGGGAGACAGATGAAACGGCATCGATGGGCCAACGGGATGCAGGACGCCGCTTGGGAGAGCGCATTACGGATTTGACCTTTTGGCGCAACGAGCTGAACGCTGAGCTGGAGAAGCTCATTAGCGAGATGTCCGACATCAATGACTTGCAGCGGCAGTGCAGCAAAGCGATGCTAGATCTGGAGATACCGCTGCATATTGCACAAGAGTGCCTGTTCCATCGCGAGGGCCGGCAGGGCATGGAACTAGTGCACGACATTGTGGAGAAAGCGCTGCTGCTGGAGATCAACCATTTGCGCAATTCGCGTGACCGTCTCAGCGGGCTGCAGGAGAAGATTGCCAAGCAGGCCATCGATTGCCGTGGCGCCCAGCATCTGCTGGAGATCGATGTCACACAAAAGGAGTCCACAATGGGCATCGACTCGATGTGTCATCGCTTGAACAACTATAGCCGCGGCATCACCTACTATGGTGGCATTGAGAAGTACGATCCGACTGTCAGCACACAGGATTCCTGGGCACTTGCCAGCAGCGAGCACGTGAAGCGGTAAGTCTATTTCAATGGGTGTCCATAGCACACGGCTCATCCACTTGTTTGTTCATCCGTTTCAGATCTCAGGCAGAGCGGGCTAAGCTGTCGCAGCTGCGCAGCGATTCTCAGAATGTGGTCAATGCTGTGGCCGCCTCTGTCTGGGACTTCTGGAATAATACGAACAATGCACTGGATAGACGGGCACAGGAGATGGCCGGCGCCAAGAGTCGCGTCCAAATGCATCTACAAAAGGTGCAACAGGAACTATTCGATATGGAGAAGCATCTGTTTCTCTTGCAGAAGGCCATACAGGACAAGTCGAATCCACTTAAGGTCGCCCAGACCCGTCTCGAGGCTCGGTCCCATCGTGAGGGCATGGAACTGTGCAAGTAAGTCGTTAATATATTAAATATTTTGTCAGAGAATGGATGATCTTTACATCTGCATCATCCTCAGGGATACGGCTCATGATCGTCTCGTGGTGGAGGTGCAGGATTTGCAGAACACCGTTGATGTGCTACATCATAAGCTGCAAGAGGCGGAGGCCACCCATCAATCGTTGCTCAAAACGCGCTGCATGCTGGAAGAGGATTTGCGCAATAAAGTGAACGCTTTGTTTATCGATCGTGAAAAGTGCATGAGTTTGCGGCGCTCTTTCCCCATAACTAATTTAATTAAATATTGAAATTAGTGTTTCATATCTTTTGTCAATTTAAAATTTTACCACATAGTCCCTATGTCGTGTGTAGTCCTTAAATACAAAATACCTGTGCATAATTAAAGTCTGGCTTTTTATTTTGATTGGAAAACCGCGAAATAGCTTATCGATAGAGCTATCGACAGCTAGGAGATTGTCACGATGTAATGCGTGTGCATCGATAGGAAGTATCGCATTAACGGGGTTAATCTATCGTTATGCTGATAAACCAACAATTTCAATAGCAAGTGTCTTTTTGGTCGTCTTCAGGTAATTAATGTGTTTTAAGCTTCAAATAATTAGCAACATTCATAAAAAAAGTTGCTTTTTAAAATGTTCGTCTTGTGCTAAATGTCATTTTGTCAGGAAAATTATGTCGACTGTCTTAAAAAAAAATTTTCATGTAGCCCAACTTGCCGGTTTTCTAAAGTTTATTCAAATAACATATTAGAGTTCGATGACCATAAATTATATATTTAAAATAGCGAAAGCAAAGCTAGTTAAGAAGCCGGTGCTTCAACCAGTTTATCTTTGTTTACTTTTTTTTGTGTACCTCATTTTTCGTTTTCCGAATTCGTTGCCGGCTTCAAGTGCATCGAAACTTCTGACGTGTTCCATGAATATCTTGATTTGTCAGCAACAACAAATCGCACCTTGGGAATTTGATATATAATAACTGTTAACATTCCAGTGGAAAGGCCTGCATAGTTGGAAGACGACACAACACATATAATTAAAGGACTCCGCAGCTGGGCACTGTGAGCATTCAAAATGCGTTGCTCATTGTTCGTTTGCCTCATCATTGGGGCGCTCTTCAGTTACGGCGCTGGCGTTGATCCAAGCAATTTCAAGACTTGCGAGCAGAGCAGTTTCTGCAGGTAAATTATTAGTAGGTTAAAGCAAAACCTTACCCGTTCTTTTACTTACTTGTTACACACACACGCACTCACACTCACACTCACACAGGCGCACACACAGAGATTCTCTTTGTGTCTCTTTCTATTCTTGAAAATGATTTGAATAAATCAAGAAATGATGTGGTCATTCATTGCTTTAAATAATCAAGTACTATATTTCGTATTCTCTGCAAGAGTATTTTGAATATTTTCTACATTTTCTCTCTTTAATGCCCTTTCTCTCCTTTGCAGACGGTCGCGCAAGGTGCAAAGCGCGGGCAGCAAGTATGCCCTTATTCGGGGCACCCTGAATACGTACTCAGATTCATTGACCGCTGATTTAATCAACAAGGAGAATCATCATCAGTTTACGCTGAAGCTGGAGGCGCTTGTGGGCAACACCTTCCGTTTGCAGATTGATGAGAAACAGCCGTTGCGTCCACGCTATCGCGTTGAGCACGCACTGAAAGGCAAGCCGGAGACGACACGGATAAGTGTGGAGGAATCTGATGAGCTCACCATTACGGTTGGCACTTCCAAGGCTGTGATACATGGTGATCCATTTCGCATTGACTTCTATGAGCACGATGTGCACGTCGTCTCGGTGAATGCCAAGAACTGGTTGTACTTTGAGCATTTGCGCCAGAAGGCACAGACGCCTCCCGAGCCAGCCGAGGGCAATGACCAGGCGCAGCAGCAGCAGCAGGATCAGCAAGACAACAGTGAAGAGGTGCAGCCAGCCAGCGAACCAATTGACGATCCCGGCGCATGGGAAGAGAACTTCAAATCGCATCATGACTCCAAACCCTATGGGCCACAGGCCGTTGCCCTCGATTTCTCCTTCCCTGCCGCAGAGATTCTCTTTGGCATTCCCGAGCATGCCGATAGTTTTCAACTAAAGTCAACATCCGGCACGGATCCCTATCGTCTATACAATCTGGATGTCTTTGAGTATGTTGTGGACAGCAAGATGGCCCTCTATGGCTCTGTGCCGGTGCTCTATGCTCATGGGTAAGTGGATAAATCTCCTTCACTCCCACTTTCAACTCGTTTGACACTCGTTCTATTATTTGTTTGCAGTCCAAAACGCACCGCCGGCGTCTATTGGCAAAACTCCGCTGAGAGCTGGGTGGATATCTATACGACCGAGACGAATGTGGTTTCCTCACTGGTGAACTTTGTGTCCGGCTCGAGGAAGTCGACGCCTCCTGTGGCCCACTTCATATCCGAGTCGGGCATTGTAGATGCGTTCATTATGCTCGGACCGCAGCCCCTGGATGCGTTCAAGCAATACGCAGCTCTGACTGGAACACACGAGCTGCCGCAGTCGTTCGCTCTGGCCTATCATCAGTCTCGCTGGAATTACAACGATGAGCGCGATGTGACCTCCGTTTCGGCCAAGTTTGATGAGTTCAACATGCCCATGGATACCATGTGGCTGGACATTGAGTATACGGATGGCAAGCGCTACTTCACATGGGACAAGTTCAAGTTCCCGGAGCCCTTGACCATGATCAAGAACCTAACGGAACTGGGCCGCCACTTGGTCATCATCATTGACCCGCACATTAAGCGTGACAATGCGTACTTCTTCCACCAGGACTGCACGGAGAACGGCTACTATGTGAAGACGCGTGAGGGCAACGACTATGAGGGCTGGTGCTGGCCAGGATCTGCCAGCTATCCGGACTTCTTCAACCCGGTTGTGCGCGACTATTATGCCAGCCAGTATGATCTGTCCAAGTTCAAGACGGTCTCCAAGGATGTCATGATCTGGAACGACATGAATGAACCATCGGTGTTTAATGGCCCCGAAGTAACCGCACCCAAGGACCTCGTCCACTATGGCAATTGGGAGCACCGCGATGTGCACAATCTCTATGGCCACATGCACCTGATGGGCACCTTTGCTGGCCTTAAGCAGCGCGATCCTGAGCAGCGTCCCTTCATCCTGACGCGCGCTCACTTTGCTGGCTCGCAGCGGTACGCAGCCATTTGGACCGGTGACAATTTGGCGGATTGGGCGCACTTGCAGCATTCAATCAAGATGTGCCTCACAGAGGCCGTCGCTGGCTTCTCGTTCTGCGGCGCCGATGTGGGCGGCTTCTTCGGCAATCCGGACAGCGAGCTGCTGGAGCGCTGGTATCAGACCGGCGCCTTCCTGCCCTTCTTCCGTGCTCATGCCCATATCGACACCAAGCGCCGCGAGCCCTGGCTGTTCCCCGAGCGCACTCGCGCCGTTATCAAGAGCGCATTGCTCACGCGCTACAGCTATTTGCCTTTGTGGTACACCAGCTTCTATGAGCTGGAGCAGACAGGCGCACCAGTCATACGCCCACTGCTGACCCACTATCCTGCTGACAAGGAGGCGTTTGCCATTGACAGCCAGCTGCTGGTGCAGCACCGCCTCCTGGTGCGTCCCGTGATGCAGCAAGGCGTTAGCAAGGTGGACGTCTACTTCCCGGCCATCGATGACAAGAAGAACGGCGACTATTGGTACGACGTGGACACCTTCCAGAGGCAGGAGCGTGCCGGCTACGAGAGCATACCCGTTACCGACGACAAGGTGTGTCAATTGCTTTCTCTTTCCCTCTGCTGCCCAGCCCACTAAAGCCCATCTCCTCTTCTTTGACAGATACCCGTTTTCCAGCGCGGCGGCAGCATTGTGCCCAAGAAGGAGCGCCCGCGTCGCTCTTCCAAGCTGATGCTGAACGATCCGTACACCCTGGTTATCTGCCTGGATCGCCAGGGCAAGGCCGCTGGCACGCTCTTCCTGGACGACGAGAAATCGTACGCGTACCGCAACGGCGAAAGCATCTACGTGAACTACGAGTTCGCCAACAACCAGCTGACCAATCGCTTCATTACCAAGCCGCTGTACAAGTCGGATGCCTGGATTGAGCGCATCATCATCGCCGGACTGGGCTACGTGCCGATAGACGCCACCATCACCGCCAAAGGCATCAGCCAGAAGCTGGAGATAGAGCAACGCTCCAACGGAGCGATTGTGGTGCGCAAGCCGGCGGTCAAAATGAATGTGGACTTTGCGCTCAAACTCAACGCTGCTTAACTATGGTATTAACTGAAGGTGTCCTGCAGCCAACCTCTCCAACCCGACCCGGCGCACCCAGCAGGATTAGACATTATTCATATATATATATATACGTCTATCATTTTATTTTTGTATCCCATGTACGCTCCTAGTAGCCGATAGTTAATTTGTTTTCTCGCATGGCTTCGATGCGAGGTGAAGCACGAATAGATTCCAATAAATGAGTTACATGCGAATTTAAAATTTACGTATACCTGTTCCATGAATCGGGCGATTATATGGCATATCTGTGAAGTTCCTCGAGTATACCCTTTAATTGTTATAAGCGGGTAAGGGGGCTGCTAAGCAGGCATATGTAACATGGATAGCCTTAAATTGATTTGAGCTTGTTCCATCTGTTGCCCTAACATAAGCATTTACATATCTGTATATATACATATATAAGTAAATATAATGACCAAAACTTATTTCATTGATGCTATCAATTTCGGAATGTTTCATTAGAATAATTAAAATTCACTCGGACTGATGAGGCAGCCCGGGCTTGGGTGGGGCAAGAGCCACAAACTAATTCATTAGCCCAGCCGGAATGGAAAGGAAAGAGAGAAAAAATGTGTTTGCCGAGCCGAAAATCAAATGTAAAACGCGAGCCTCAGCCTTGATTCGACTTGATGAATGATGGGCTGACTGACGAATAGACGGACGGACGGACTGACTGACTGACTGAAGGTGCTGGTGGTGGTGGTGGTGGTGTTGGTGGTTGTGGTTGTGATTGTTGTTGCTAAAAGCATTTAGCAAAAAGCCAAGAAACAAAGTTGAAAATCTAAAAAAAAAAAATAAAAAAAATTGAAGCGACAGGCGACGGGCGACGGGCGGCACATTGCAATTTATATGCAAACAAACAAATAAGCTCCGACAGAGCAACAACAAAACCAACCACCCAACCAACCAAACAAATCCAGCCCAATCCACCCAAGCGCAATCCTTGTCCCCCTTCCCCTGCCATGGCCCAGCCGATTGTGAGTGTCTGCTATCTCTTTCTGACTGCCGAGCTTCTTTGCGCTGACTGCTGCCGGCTGCTGCATGTCCTCAATTCTCATTCTCATCTCATTGTAAGTGTGTGTGTGTGTGTGTGTGTTGCTCGTTGAACATTTCAATCAACGCTCGAGTGAAAATTGAAAAAAAAAAAAAATAAAATAAAGGCAAAGGATAATGTGGCTGCGGTTGCGTCTGTGGTTGAGTTAGTTGAATTGCGGTTCGAGTTGCGTGTGAAAGGAGGAAGGGGCAGGGCGAATGTGGGATGGGGGAGGGGCTGGTGTGGGTTGTTCTGGGACTGAGCTTGGGCCGTCCGCTGCCTAAGCGGAAATGGATGCGCAACACTTAAGTGGCACAAATTGTATGCCACATGTGTGTCCGTGTGTGTGTGTGTCCATGTGTGTGTATGTGTGTGGAGACTTTCGCAAGCTCTGCAACTATTCGCAGATTGCGCGTCTATAGACTGTTATACAAATAGTACGTGTGCAGGCGACAATCACGTGTGCAGGTGATACCCAGCACCTGGCGGTCGGAGTGGAGTGGGTGGGGGGGGGGGGGGGGGGGGGGGGGGGGGGGGGGGGGGAAGTGGAGTGGAGTGAGTTGATTTGGCACAACAAATCTAGCTGAAATGTTGCAGAGATTTACCCACTAGAGACAATGACAATCTGGAACGATGGAATTCCCTGAAGCTTGACAACGTCTCATTTGTGTTAAATATTTTGGAATTTGGCAACGTGGAAATTCTATTCGAGCCACCGAATCGGAGAAACATTCTAATTAGAAAGTCATAAATAAGCCAAGTTTTGAATTACGTTTTGTGTGAGAGTCAAACTAGGTATTGATAGAGCTGGTAGTACGATGCTAGCGATACCTAAAAGTTTCGAGGGCTACACATAGGTATATACATTTTGATTTCATTAAACTTAGATTCAGACAAAGTTCGTAGATAATGGACTTTTTTCGATATACTTCCGCTGAGAAATTTGGCAACGTTGCAAATAGATCAATATACATATGTAGCTATTCGCATGTTTCGCATTATAAGAAAACATTAAGAAGTGAGGTATGCCAAAATATCATTAGTATATATTATATGCCATATGCCATAAAGTTCAGAAACATTTCGCTGTGAAGTTTGGCAACATTGCAATTAGAACATATACATAAATGAGAAGTTTGGCAACGTATCAAAATATGTATAGATATTTATAATCACAAAAATCGTAGTAAAAAGAACAAAAACAAAGAAAATTAAATTTGGAAATTTGGCAACAATGCCTTAGGAAACAGATACATATGTATATTAGCTGAAGTCTGACATCACAGCATTTAGAAATATCAAGTTCTGTGAAGCTCTATATACATATATGTACAATATTGAGTTGATACAACAATATTGAATACAATATTGAATTAATCTGAAGTTTAGCAACCTTTCATTATCTAATATTTGAATGCCTTGAAACTTGGCAACGTTGCATAGGAAATAATTTAACGTAGTCTGTGTAATGCTGTCAGATTCCGCATAATAATGAAGTTTGGCAACATAGCACAAGAAAATATCGCATATCTGACGATGATCCACGTAGCATAAAGGAATGTCTGAAATTTCTTGGAAAATATAGGGAAAGCAACATTCTAGTATGTCTGAAATTTGAGAACGTGAAATCTAAATATATCCATGGTTGGTTCGGCAACGTAGCATCATAGAAAATCTGTCTGAAGTTTGGCAACGATTTAGATACTGTAAAGCTGGGCAACATTGAAATGCCGCGTGAAGTGCGGCAACGCAGCATAGGTAAATATCTAAGGCCGAGATTTAAGTGCTGTGCAATGCGGCAACGTGGCATTGGGAAATATGTGAGTGGTGTGCATTTGAGCACTGTGGCGTTGCAGTTGAAATGGATGCCGCTTAGACAGTTAGATAGATGCTCCAGTGGGGCAGCGCCCCATAGCCACTCCCTCCCATTCCAGCCGCAAGTGGCAACAGCCGCTGCTACACGGCGCTTGCCCCACACTCCCAAGGCATTGCCATAACAACCGTTAACAGCAAACACATTTAAAATCAGAGCAAGCCAAACAAATTTCATAAAAAAATGAAAATGAAAAAAAAAAAAACAGAAGGGAAAAAATGCGACGACCAGCACCAAATCCAAAGTGTAAACATTCACAGCCTTTGTGCGAAGGAATAGGCAAGTGGGTGGGGCAGTGGGCGGGTTGAGTGCCGGGGGGGAGGTGGATGGCGGGTGCTGTGTGGCAAGTAGACAATGGTGCCTCACAGGGAACAGCTTCCTTCCGAGCTGATGCGCTGCGTTGGCTCCTGTCGCTACAGCCGTGACGTTTGATGTGCAGCGCAGACGGCCAACTATGTGTGGGTGTGAAAGGTACGGAGAGAAGAGAAGAGAAGAGAAATACCACGTATCTCTAACAACGCACCCAACGGGCGACTGACAAACGGCAACAGCTAACATGGTATTTATTTCCAAACAAGTGCAAAAGAATAAAAAACAAAATGCAGAGAAGAGAGGAGAGGAGAAGAGAGGCGAAGCGCAACGGGAAGAGAGCTGAAAAGAGAAGAAAAGCAACCCGTACGTTGGAAAAAAAAGGAAAAAACGTAAACGGAAACATCATGGATGCGGATGCGAATGGCACACACGTTGCAATTGCTTGGCAACACCAGCAGGAGCAGGAGCAGTAGCAGGAGCAGGAGGGGCCACATCCGCTGTTGGCCCGCCGT